CGCACTCGGCGTTAGCGCACTCGGAGCCAGCGCACTCGGAGCTAGCGCATGTGTAGTGAGTCTAGCGATACCGAGTCGCCGCGAAGCGGCGACCGGGAGCGCTAGTGGCCTATAAAAGGAAGCAACAGACGACCTATCAGTCCTTTGGTGCGAGTCATTGGTGACAAGCTGTGCGACAACGAAAATGGCTGGTCCGTCGAAATCCCTCGCGGGCAAGTTAAACGCTACTCTTAAGAGGAAACGAGGTGAGTACATTCAAAAAAGAATCATAATAGCGTGATAGATCCACATCTTACGTTCCTCTAAAATCTAGAATGCATCGAACGGATGAATAAATGCTCGAAGTTCCTCATCAAAAAGCCCCAGAAGTCCCCGATGATCAAAGCAGCAGTTCCCAAGGCAGGACGCCCAAAAATATCATCGATATCACAATGGACCAAGTAGGAGGTCAAGTGCAGGGTCGAGTCAAATCAAAGACACCGGCGCGGAGCTGGCAGAGAGATGGGAGCAGAGGGGAGATTTTCTCTTTCATCGTCGTAGACTCAACGGCACAGATCAATGTCATCGTCGCCGGCGAAGATTGTGAGAACGTGTACAAGCAAATCAATGTGGGAGAATGTTATAAGCTCAGCGCATTCCGGCAGAAACCCTGCAACCCGAAGTATAAGGTCACAGATCACCATTTCGAGCTCCAGTTGTCCAAGGTACATCACTGCGATGATAACAACTATCTATCGATCCATATTTTGAGAATGCGAAAGATACGAACGAGAACATTAATTTATATGACCCATCAATCAGATAAGCAAGATTGAGGAAGTTCCCGGAAATGATCTACCAAGGGAAAATGTGACAAGCATAACGATTGCCGAGATCAAAAGTTCAAGTCTAAAGGAAAACGTAAGCATAAACTTCATAGTATATGAAGTCTCGGAACCTCAAACGTTCTCGTGTAGAGATGGAGAAACGCGACAGAAGCAGAACGATGTTCTCGAAGATGATACGAAAAGGATTATTACTCTCAACTTATGGTCGGAGAATGTTGGCGAGTTAGATGGTCAGGAAGGGAGAGCGATCAATATTGAGAACGTATCCGTACGCGAGTATAAGGGGAAGAAGAACCTGACCCCTACGAGCGGAACAGCATACAAGAGCGCCAGAGAATGTCCCGATGATGATCGCCTAAGCGAGCTTACTGTGTGGTGGGAAAAGGATGGATACAATTGCGAATTCGAGGATGTAGCAGTTCCTAGAGCAGACGAAGATTCTACCTGATAGTTTCGATGGTCTCAATCAAATTGATTGAATAAAATCGTTGCTCTTTGAGAATGACACCAGATCAGGTATCCCTGGAAGACCCTGGATTGTAACAACCTGAATTGTGGACAATTGTAATGCAATCTGACTCTGACGCACAGTGGTCCAGAATCGGCAAAAATCAGGTTCGCCACCGAATGCTTCTAAAACGATTTCTCAGCATAAGTCTCCGTGCCCGGACTCCATTTTGGGTCTCGGAGGCTGCGCGTTCGCTGCGCGGAGCATTCCAATGGCGATATTTTCTGACGGAAATTCATCCCAGAATACGGTTGTCCGAATGAAAGGAGAAACATTCCTTGAAGGGAAAAGGAAAGAGAAAGGAAGAAAAAAGAAAGAAAAAAGAAAGAGAAGGAGAAAAAAAATTGAGCAAAACTTGTATTCAGCGTCAATCTCCTGAAGGCTCTACAACTCTAACTCGATCTGAACATGGCGAAGGAACTACAGTAGAACCTCGATTATATCAACTAATTGATGTCAAAAAATGTTGATATAATCGAGAGTTGAAATAATCGAGGTTGATATAACCGAGGGTTGACTTCGAGGGGCTTGATATAATCGAGGTCCCATAGGAACAAACTAACTCATAGTTGGGAGCTGTAAATTCTCTGAACAAGCTCGATTTTGGAAGGAAAGACAATCCTCATGATATCATCCTTGGTTCGTATTTCCCGCAATCATGTCAACTGCTCAGTTCCTCCCATGCACAGACGCTACATCTCGAAGACGGATCAGTCGAAGAAGATCCTCGGCTTCGCACTCTTCCTGACCACGCAACCATCGAATTGCCGTGTCGAAGGCTTCTACCGCCTGCATCGGGGTTGGACGGAGCCCGAAGAGAGTGTCTGAGACCTCTTCATCCTCCGAAGTTTCCTCGAAATCTTCCTGCGGGCCTTCTCCCTCACCAAAAGCTGCCAGCACTTGTTCGATGATTTCTTCGTCGTTGAGATTTTGGTTGCCAGTTTCCTCCGAGTCGCAATCCAACCATTCCTCTATGTCAGTCGCGTCGCATTCGGCGAATCTTGGATCTTGTCGCAAGTTCTCCCCGAGAACTGCGATTTCAAACGAATCGTCCATGAAAGCAGGCTCTCCTCCGAAGCCGATTGGCATCAACTTGTTCCAGGCATTCCGCAAGGTTGAGGTTCTCACTGAAGCCCACGCTTGAGACAGCATCAAGCAACAATCTTTGAGATCAATTAACTTACTGAGGTTCCCTGACGCCGCCGCTGCGTCATTCTCGATAAGACAGAGCATCCTGAACATCAGCTGTTTACGGTATAAACGTTTCAGGGCGACAATGACGCCTTGATCCATCGGTTGAAGGATAGCAGTTACATTCGGCGGCAAGAATGTGACGGTGAATTTTCCGTTCTTGGTCTCCATGGTCGTCAGCGGCGGGTGCGAAGGAGCATTATCCAAAATGAGCAATACGTTTCCTTCTTTGCCTATGATCTTCTGATGTTCTTCGACTGCTGGGATAAAAGTGTTCTCATACCAGTCAACGAAAATGTCTCGACTCATCCATGATTTTCTTTGCGCTCGATAAACAAGCGGGATGCTCGCTCCTCGAAAACATCTTGGATTTTGAGACCTTCCGATCAATAGAATGGGGATCCTGTGATTGCCTGTGGCATTGGCACATGTCATAACAGTCACCCTATCCTTGCTCGCCTTCCGTCCCGGCGCCGACCGCTCATTGCGCGCTGCTAGCGATCTGCTTGGTAGCGCCCTGTAGTACAGTCCTGTTTCATCACCATTATAGATGAATTCAGGGTCGAAAGTTCCGATGTTCAGAGCAGCTCTGAATTTGATGACGAATTGACCAGCTGCTTCTGCGTCTGATGACAAACTTTCCCCTTGTACTTCTAGTTCACGGATGCCATGCCTACTCTTGAATTTTTGCAACCAACCGTTGCTAGCTCGGAAATCTCGAGTTCCGCCGAGCTTCGGATAGAGTTCCAGAGCTTTGGCGCAGATGATCGGGCCCGAGAGTGGAAATCCAATGTGACGTTTCTGAAGGAACCACAGGAAGAGAGCCGCATCCAGAAGTTCGTTTTCGGCGGTTTTCATCACTTACGCATCTTTGGGGCCGAATTGCTCACTTCGAGACTGAACGTACCGTCGGATCTGATCTGCATTCTTCTTGATGTAGCAAATCGTGCTTTTGTCGACTCCGAATTTCTTGGCCAAAGTCGCTTGCAATTCACCCTGATCCAGGCACACTAGGATTTCTTTTTTCTGCTGGAGAGTCAGCACGGTCCTCTTTTTCCTGCCAGATTCCATCGCGATGCCCTGACTCTGAGAACAAGATCTCCCCGATTAACTTCTGTCAGAGCACAACGTTGAGTATGTGGTCTTCCGGCTCGCTTCGACAAGCCAACAGCAAGCTCTCTCCGATGTCGGATGACAAGCAGCGATGTTCTGAGCGGACTAGAAGATCTTCGAAAGAGACAATGTGTGATGGCACCTTCTCAGAGTCCGAGCAGAGAATGCCATGTGGCGCCAAGCAGATCTCATGCCAATGAATTGAATTCCGACGATAGGAATTCGCGGTTGATATAATCAAGGTTGATATAATCGAAGGTTGATATGATCGAGGCTTGATATAATCGAGCTTGATGTAATCGAGTTCGGTCCGGAAAATGTTGAAATAATCGAGGTTGATATAATCGAGGTTCTACTGTATACATAGATCTGAGACTTGAATTGAAGAGGGAGCTCGGTCTTGATGCTTTCCCTGCATACAACTAGGTGCTGACTGGAAAGAACAATGCTATCCGACTAACATCGAGGCAACAGAGAAGCATGCTTCCGTCCCGCTGAAGGATCTCCTAGAGCACTCTGTGAAGCGATTACTAAGCTCGCTACCGGAGCCAGAATTCAACCTGTTGGAGGAGCACTTGACTTTCTTGTCAAAATGGGGTTGCGATGGATCCTCTGTCACTCGGAGTACATACAGGCGACCTTGTGTTATTCTCTTTCGGACGGTAATCTATTTATCGTTTCTGTGACCTCTCTCCGACTCAGCAAGACTTCTGAGGAAACGGTTATCTTCTGGAACAATCCCAAGCCTTCATCTACGAACTATTGTCGACCCCTTAGATTCGAGCTGACAGAGGAAACACCGGAAGTGATCAAAGCACGAAAGCACACGTAGCTCGAGTCGAAGAAGAGATATCGGACCGCGAGACATTCGTGGTAACAATAAGAGAATAAACTTTCTCAGTGGACTTCAAAATGATCCTATCGATGATCGACGGCAAGATTATCCAGATCATCAATGAAGTGCCTCACATGGCTCAGTGTGTAATTTGCAAGGTTACAGCCCATTGGCCCGACACCCATAAGCCAAAGCCAAGCCAAAAAAAAAAGCAAAAAAAAGCATTGCAAAGCCAAGCCACCTGAAATGAACTCATTGGACTCAGTTTTTTTTCTTTTTTCCTTCTTTTCTTCCTTTTTCTTTCTTTTCCTTTCCTTTTCTCTTCGAGGAATGTTTCTCCTTTCATTCGGACAACCATATTCTGGGATGAATTCCCGTCAGAAAACATCGCCATTGGAATGCTCCGCGCACCGAACGCGCAGCCTCCGAGACCCAAAATGGAGACCGGGCATCGAGACTCATGCTGAGAAATCGTTTTAGAAGCATTCGGTGGCGAACCTGATTTTTGGCCGCTCTGGAGCACTGTGTGACGTAGGTGACAAAACGGGAGCCTCGATTCGAATGATAACTGTTCGATATGGAGCTTCGGGTCCCGACAAGCATGGTCGGCTGCTACATTTCCAGAAAAATTCGTCAAGAAATCGACTGTGGAAGCTGGCTGCAATTTCTAGTGGAGCAGCCGCTCTATAGGCTGTAGGATATCACAGTCGATTTCTCAGCTTTGGAGGATCCTTTGCTTGCAACGAGCTCGGCGGCTGAGAACATAAAGTCTGCATAGATGATTTTTAAGGCGTTTCACGTCCATACTTACGGTAGTGTCTCCGACACCTACCTGCCGGGAACTTTTGGAAACTTTCCCGTATGACCAAGCGAGCTCTTAGTTTATCTATAATCCCGCTGTGGTCGGTTTTGATCTTGTGTCGGGTCGGAGCTATGAATGAAGCAGCGTAGCCGACAGGTACGCTAAGTCTACTACACGACGAAGAGTAGTCTCTTTCACGTTACGACAACTGGCGACGAGGATGAGTGCCGAACCTGGCGTCACGGAACTTTCTTTGGGCAGGGATAGAGTCGTACGCAGCGGTCGTCCCAAGAAATACTCACTCAGCTTGCGTTTTGTTTTGTGGATCTGGGGTGCTGCGATAGGTGAAAAGCATCTCAGCCAGAGCTTCCCCCGAGCTCCGCCCCTCTGAGCGAGTTTTCTTGAACATTCGTTTGAATACATCGACGAATCTTTCCGCCTGACCATTCGACTGCGGAAGGAACGGGGGCGAGTGCAAGAGTTGAATTCCACGATTTGCACAAAATTCCGAGAATTTCGACGCGCTGAATTGGCTACCATTGTCAGCGACCAACACTTCCGGATTGCCGAATCTTGCGAAGATCGAATCCAGTGCCGCCAATGAAGAACAAGTCGTCGCTTGCCTCAAACACACGATCTCAGGCCATCTTGAAAAAGCGTCTAACCCGATTAGAAACATAAATCCATCGAGGGGCCCTGCAAAATCGATATGCACGCGCTGCCACGGTCGGACAGAAGGGAATCCGCGTATTTCGAAGGACAAGACGATGAAACAGGATCGGAAGGTGCAGGTGGTGACCATCGGTGGATTGAATGCCGACCACCAGAATCAGGAAAGTGTTCATGAGGAAATCAAGATAAATCGGAAGACGCTCAAATTGAGGCTCGATACCGGCTCAGATGTGACCATCATAGGCGCTGAAACATGGCGAAAGCTTGGAAAGCCGGCTCCGAGCGAAGTGGAGTTTGTCAAGAAAGCGGCGAATTAAGGAAAGATCGATAGTCGAGGCTACTTCATGCGCGAGTTCGAGCTGGGCGGCGAAGAGTTCGGAAGGAGATGTTATGTCGTTTCCCATGAGCTTAACTTATTGGGGTGCGATTGGCTGAAGAGAACTCAAAAGAGAGGCTCATCGAAGTTTTCGATGAAAAATGCGAGCGAGATTCGAAACGAAGCAGGGCGCCGCTCCGGTGTTCTGGAAAAGTCGACCAGTACCATATGCGACATTGCCGAAGCTGGAGGTTGAAATCGATCGTTTGGAGAAAATGGGCGTCATTTCATCGGTTACGCACTCACTCTTCGCAGCACCTGTGGTCATTGTGCTGAAGAAGACAGGGGAGATACGCTTATGCGCGGATTTCAGTACCGGTCTGAATGCCCTTCTCGAAGATCATCATCATCCTCTGCCGACGGTGGACGACATTCTAACGAAAATGTTTGGCGGGGTTTTCTTCTCTAACATCGATTTGGCTGCGGCATATCTTCAAGTGGAAGTCGAAGAGGATTCCAAAAGATTCGAGACAATCAATACTCCGAAGGGTCTGCACCGTTATAACAGACTTCCTTTCGGCGTGAAAGTTGCTCCGGCCATTTTCCAGCACATGATGGATATGCTCATAGCTGGATTGCCTGGTGTCGCTGCCTATCTCGACGATTCGGTAGTTACTGGAAGGTCGTTGCAAGAGCATCATGACAATCTTCAGAATCTCTTCAAACGAATTCAGGAATATGGCCTCAAGATCGAGCTAGCGAAATGTTCTTTTCTGAAGCCAGAAATCAAATTTCTCGGACAGATCATTTCGAGAGAGGGTCGGAAACCAAAGTGAGAGAAGATGGAGGCGATTGCAGCTATGCCAGCTCCTACAAATCAGAATGAGCTGAGAGCTCTGCTGGGAATGATCACGTCCTACAGCGCTTATTTGCCGGCGATGAGACAACATGGATCTCCGATGGATGATTTACTCAAGAAAGATACTAAGTTCGTATGGTCGAGTCGGAGTCAAAGTTCCTTCGGAGTGGTCAAGGAAATGCTCCGATCAGATTTGCTATTGACACATTATGACCCGAAGAAGGACTTGATCGTGGCAGCAGACGCAAGTGCTTACGGAATTGGGGCGGTTTTATCACACAAATTCGCTGATGGAAGCGAAAAAGCGGTTTTTCATGCTTGTCGTTCGCTAACCGAAGCGGAGAAGAATTACGCCCAGATCGAAAAGGAAGCTCTTGCGCTCGTATTCGCCGAGAAAAAGTTCCATAGGTACGTACTAGGACGGAAGTTCTTGTTGCTCACCGATCAGCCACCGCTTTTAGCTATTTTCGGTAGTAAGCAAAGCATACCTGTATATACCGCTAATAGTTTACGGAGGTGGGCTAGGATGCTACTCGGCTACGATTTCACCGTGGAGTACCGTAGGACCACGGATTCCGGTCAAGCAGACGCCCTTTCTAGGCTGATCGCGATTCATCAGCAGAACAAGGATAAAGAGGACGCTGTGATCGGTGCTGTCGAGGAAGGAATCAATGTCTTGCCGCACGAACGAATGACCGGTCTCCCGATAAGTAAGACAAGATTGGTAAAGGAAACCTCAAAGGATGAGCTGCTTCACGTTGCCATGAAACATGTTCAGACCCTGTGGCCGCAGAAGGTGAATCGGGAGTTCTACAATCGCCGGGAAACGCTTCCGGTGGTTCGTGGATGTCTCAAGTCAAGCGATAGAGTTGTGATTCCTATGAGTCTGAGAGAAAATATTCTGACAGAATTACATCAGGGCATCCCGGAATAACGAGGGTGAAGACATTAGCCAGGAGTTTCGTATGTTGGCCTGAGCTGGATGTGAACATCGGAAAGACTGTTAAAGGTTGTGAGGCCTGTGTTCAGAGGAACAGAGATTCAAGGAAGGTTCCGCTACGCTCGTGGCACCCTTCTGACCGACCGTGGCAGCGCGTGCGCATCGATTTTGCAGGGCCCCTCGATGGATTTATGTTTCTAATCGTGGTAGATGCTCTTTCAAGATGGCCTGAGATCGTTTGTTTAAGGCAAGCGACGACTTGTTCTACTCTGGCGGCACTGGATTTGATCTTCGCACGATTTGGTAATCCGGAAGTGTTGG